TCTTGGGGTACCCAGCGCAGCAGCTGTGGGAGAAGCGAGTTGTGACCAGCTCAGTGGCTGCTTCCCCTGACTGGTGGCAAGGACAGACACTGTATTTGCAGAGCAGCAAGGTACAGTGGTTTGAGGGAAGCCTGTGATGATTAGCAAGTGAGGCGGATAGAGTAAGGACCGTTGGCAATGGTCTTCATTTTTCTTGGTAGCTGCTGTATCACAGAGCAAATAAATACTGGTTTCAGTGTGTTGCCCAGTATGATATAGTTTCACAGCTAAAGGTGTGCCCAGAGGTGCACCTCCCTCCCAGGCTGTGTGCTGCCACAGTGTCGTTACCTCCGCCTGTGCCTTCCCCCGCCGGCTCCGTTCCGTGGGCAGGGCTGGTGGCTCCTGGGCAGACAGTGGTTCCAGAGAGGGCTTTGTCCACGGGGAAGCGGCTGCCTGGGCGCCCGCTGCCGCAGCGGGGCACATGTCTCTTCTGCTGGTCCCTGGAAACACATTTCCACTGCGAGGGCTGTCTGCCTCTGAAAGCAGCTAACGCTCGATTCCCGTTTTTCCCGCTAGGTCATCCTCTTTCAGTACTGACTGCGCGAACTCTTCCTCATCTGCCCATGGCGCTACCAGCACCACTGCCCCTCAGCCGCTGAAACACAGCGTCCAGCCCAAGGCAACTGTTATCAGTCATGCAGGAGAAACTCAGATCCAGCATTCTCAGTTATTTCCATTGACCAGCACCTAACATCCACTATTTTTTCTCCAGCGACACTGTGTATGTGTGTGTTGAGTGCAGAGTTACATTTTTCACTTGTTTCTTGTGGACTTGTAGAATGACCGTGAGTCTCTCCAAGGCAATGCCAGACACAGTCAAAATTAGTGACTCTACTGTGCTTGCAAAACTTGCTCCCAAACCCATGGGACTATGAACAAACCAGAACATGCCGAGTCGCAGGGGGGGTCGATGATCACCTCTGAACACAAAGGAAGGAGGAATTTACGTGGTTTGGCCTGATTCTCTTTTTGCACCAGTGAAGCGCTGTCGGTTCCCGGACATCCCTCCTTATTTCCACTTGCATGTGTGAAAAATGAAATGGGCTTTTTTGGCTCAGCAACTCGATATATACACAGACCTTCCTGAGCCAAACTCGCAGGTAGCTGAGACTCCACTAAGTGGAAAACATGATGCCAGCTGGAAATAGGCAGTTTTTCTTCCTCCTCAAAGTGCTTTAGAATCACATGTCCTTTGATCACTCTAAGGTAAGTAAATCTTAGTGTTTTTCCCCCCGTTTTATAGGAGGGGAAACCGAGATGTCCTAAACCGAGAGGAACCGTTGGGGTTGGTGGCAGAGCCAGGTTTAGCACTCTGACTTGTTCTTAGAGCACTGAATATCTCTCTCCTCTCACAGCCATCTGCCAAATCTTCTTCGGTTTTTTTATTTTTTACTCTTGTTCTTTATTAACAAGCTACTTTATTTCCTTGGAATCATATTGGATCACAAATGGGTGATTTCAGAATGTATCTACACAAAACTCTCAGACACTCTGTACTCCGGGACTGGGAAATCCTCAATGGAAGCTGACCATAAATGCGTAGAAATGTTCTGCCCTGGTGTGGACCCAAGTTCAGTCAGTGGAAGCAGTGGGGTAGAAAACAGAGGCCAGCTAACAAGGCGAAAACAGCAGTAAGGCCAGGAGGAACAGTCGCTAGCTGAGTGGACAGAAACACGATGGCATATTCCTTTATCTGGCAGCGTCGCTCTGAGTCCCTCTGCCCTCCTGTTGTTCTCCCTTGCTGGAGTACGGCTGTTGCTCCCGCCAAGTCCTCGGACAAAGGCACAGCCCAGGAGGACTGCTGCCGGCGGGGCAGGCACCGCAGGGCTCATTGCAACAGCAAAGGAAGCGCTCAGCAGTCTGGCCACAAATCAGGAAAAAACCTCCGAAATGATCCTTCATTGACGGTAATAACAAAAAGTAAACAAGTAACCTTTGCCAGCCCTTCTCAGTTTGCACCGAGCCAAGAGCAGGTCTGTAATGAAACCTCTCTCCATGCAAGCGCACGGGTCTGTCTTGCTGCTAAGTGTCTGTGAGGCCACGTTTCCAAGAATGTGAAAGCCTACTATGAGCCACAGTTAGTGCGTAATATGACCGAACTGTGCCTGAGGAGCAGAAGACAGGAATCCATCCGTTACAGAACTTGTTTTCAATTTGAACTGTAGATACATGTGTGTTTCTCTCTGGGAGATCCTGGATCAATCATCTCCAACGTCGGCCAGGTGGGCAGCCATCCCACTGCTTTGGCCAGCCCCTGTTGCACACACAGCAAGCCTTCTCCTGCCCGTGCCCCCAGGCTCCGTGTGGCACCGATGGCCGGACACACGGCTCCAGCTAACCGTGAGGCACGCTCGCCGCTCTGCCCGCACGGGGAATGGCGTAAGGAGATGTGGATGTCTGCTGAGGTGGCCACCAAGCTCTCTTGGTTTGAGAAGTAACAGAGTACAAGCATGCATTGATATTTGTTGGAACGAATATATATGTATATATACACACATACCTCTGTGTGTGTACACGTGTGTGCGTATATATATATATATATTTAAAAAAATACAGAGAAACAGAGAGAGAGTGATGGTAATACCTTGGACAGTTAGGCCAGTATTCTGTCTAATTGCAGCCAGCAGCTAGCAGCTCTACCCCCAATTTAAAATAACATTTGAAAGGAGAGAGGAAATTAAGTCCGCAAAGTATTATTGTCACCTCCTGACGTGCGAATAACCATTTCCAGTGTGTAGCCAGGCAAGGCACTCCCGTACGCCTGGCCTGACTGGAACCACCGCTGCAGAAGCATCCCCTCGGGGAGGGGACGGTCACAAATTGCATCCGTTGCAGTCACTTTTCTCCTTGTCTGTAGCGAGGAGCGCAGGACGGGCGTTCCCTTTGTTGGCCGCTGGAGCGTTTGTAACTGCGAGGTCGAAGTGGATTGCTGCGTCCACACGCAATAGCCTTGAGGCGCTGGTGGTGGTCGGCAGGGTCACCGGCCCGACTTTCTTCTCCGCTTATGCTCACGCATCCTAATGACCGTTTAGTTGTGGAATTAGTGCCATAAATGAGTGGGTAGCTATTTCATTTAGGACTGAAGGAGAGTCTTCAGGCTGTAACTTGACCTGACATCCCACAGTACTTGAGATTTCCACAACTGTTCTGTTGAGGGAGAAAATGGTTTGATGCATTTCTCTTCTGTCTCGGCGGTGCAATGAAAGGGAAACTATTAAATATGTATCTGCTAAATATCAACTTAGTTACTGATCAAAAAAAACCCACTTGTGAAATGTACTGTATATCAACGTGTTTGTAACTGATACCACTGACAGGACCGGAGTGCAAAGCAGAGGGCCAAGGGAGCGTAGGTGCTTCTCTCCAGTGGAAGTGGACTCTCCACTACCCGTGGGGCGAACTGCCCCGCACAGACTGTGCTCCGGGGCGCTTTTCCCCCATAAGTAGCCAGGAGCAGCTTTGCTAATTCAGAAATCAGGCTCTGTTTATATTAAGCCCAAATTGTTTGCAAAAACTGGAAGCAATTCAGCTTGTGCAGTTTTAGAGCTAATTATGTGTATGGAAAATACTCAACTGTACCAAGAATGTAAGAAATCCTCTAATTTATTCAATACATTGTTTCACAACGTATTTCACACTGACTGTTGCCACTGAACCAAACCTTATCTCAGGTCATTTGCATTCATCTCCTGTCTGTAGATTAAAAAAAAAATAAAATTAAAATCATTCTCATTTTCTTAGTTTATTCGGTAATTGCCAAATGGGTTCTGGTGCAGCAATGCAGACTCCACGTACTAAACTTTTCCAGTTGCTATTTACAAAACCTTTTGCAGACAAAATGCAACAAAGATAGCCAGTGAAAGGCTTTTCCCTCAAGTTTAATAAGGTAACTAAATATGGCTAGGGTCTGAAAGTGGAATGGTTTACAGTTTTATTACCAATTATTTTTTTTCCGGCTGATGCTGGTTAACCCCAATGCCCAAGCTAAAGGTGCTTACACAACTTACTAGTTGGGACGGGGGAGTGGGAACCAATCCTGCACGACTATCAGTGATATATCTGTAGGATGCCAACTATAGACACATCAATTTTATTTCATCCGCCAATCATTTTGTTGTAGCATGTTGCAATTCTGCATGTCTTGGCTACAATGGTTAAAAAAAAAAATCTCTGAATGAGTGGACAGTCAAGACTAATATTTATTTTAAAAAAGTAAAACTAAATTGTAAGCACTTTTTTGTAAAACCAATGTCTGTTTTGTTACATACTTTTAATGTTGTGCTTTGTAAATGTCTTATTTGTGTAATAAATAAAGTTAATGCAAGTAGAAGTGCTGGCACTTACATCCAGAAAATGATGTAATTCCATTTTATTTTATTTTTAAATATTTTCTGGCTTACTAATCAAGCAGCAACCCACCCAGTTTTCCTCTTTTATTATTTTGTTAAACTCTGGCTTCAGGAGAGTTCAACAAACGTTCGTAGTAAATGGATATAATTTCCTAGTTAGCAAACCAGTCATTAAAGAATACCTCTGGTGTACATTATTACAATGATCAATCAATATCAAAGTACTGAGCAAAAAGAGAGGAAAGGAATTCACCAGGACAGCTAACTAAAATCTGGGAAAATAATGTTGATTAAGATGGATTTGAATGACTTCAACACTGAATCTGAGGCACTCTTTTTAACAAATTGTTTTCAGGCTTAATAATGTGTATATATACTACACTACACACCTCTCAGGAATATTATTGTGAGTACAGTCTGCTTTTTTCCCATGGCTTTTTCTCAGTATGACTGATTAAATGATTATTTCCATTTTTGTTTGTGCTGACAAAGATGACAAAAAGATTATATTCCTGTAGAGGGAAAGGGTGAGACAAATCCACGAGGACAAATTAGATTCATTGTGAATCAGATTACCTGCTTTGGAATATTATTGTCTAGCAAGAACTGTTTTCATGGTTTCGGTTTATGTTCAATTGTTTCATCCCAAGCTTTCCGGCAGGTCCGAATGATCCATTCATGCTCATCATCATCTGAAAGGGAGATAAAGAGAATGCCAAATATCACCATGGCCGATCTGCTCCTTGCATCAGTAGGGTCCAGCTCAAACAAGCAATTTTTCCTTTGAGAAATAAATCCATTTTTAGCCATTGGCATCTCTTAGAACACATTTTTTTGTTTCTTTAAAAGATTGTGTGCTGTTGTGTTGGAATTTGTCAAGGCAGGAGATACTGGATCTATGGCAATGACTCTGATTATTCATGTTTGACAAGATTAGCTTGGGCGGAACTATGAGATTTACACGTATATATTTGATTTTTTGACTTTTTGGCAGGAGACGTGCAGGAGATATGTTGAAACTATCAGAAATGAAGATGATACACATTTTTTAAATTCTATGTCTGCATTGCTTGTCGGTTTATGAAAAGTGAAGGTTAAGAAAAATCTATAGTCAAAACCTAGGTTCTTGTCTTCAAGCTTTTCTTTCAGTGCTGTTTTTGAAATGTACGTTATGACAGGTATCGATAAGCTGATATAATGGCTGATAGACGTATTTTAGACCTTCTTCTGTGTCCCTTGTTAGTATTCATGTCTGTCATATTTATTCTCAGAGCATAATGACAGTGTGGAAAGAAAAAAAAAAATCAAAGACAATGTAGAGAAAACCAACTGTCCAGCAAAGTTTGAATAGAAATTTTGCGTATGATTACAAAAAATTAGTTGGCAAATGTTAAGTTGTGGCTTCTTAATTCCAGGGATTTAAACGGTCTTGTCTCAAAAAACTGTTCTGCAGCCTTTACTTTTGTGTTTGTGTATGGGAAGAGAGATCTGTGTAGTAGACCAGGAAAAACAAACTTCAAAAAGCCTTGAAAAAAATCAAAGTATTACTTAAAACAATACCTGTATTTATTTTTATATAAATGAAATGTATTAGAGCTGCTTCTTGTGTTTACCACTGTCTTAACAAATTCATATTAGCTGCTTGTGATGTGTGTGTCTAACCTGCCTCCATCTAAATTTTAAGGGGTTTGTAGCAGCCCTTATTACCTGAAAGAATAGTTGATTGCAAGAAGGACGGAGCCAAGGGGGCTGTAGTCCCGGTATTGTGACCATCGCTTGGCATAGCACAGAGTCCCATTTATTTACACAGCCGCCCTGCACAGCCGAGTGCCCTGCTTAGGTAGGTCAGAACAGATCGAGAAGGAAGCATGTTGCTTGTAAGGAGTCAAGTTTTCATGGAGATCTTTTGACTGTGGAGTTGTACCTTTAAGTTAAAGCGGCATAGTGGCATTTGAAATGCAAAAGGTAGGAAGGTCCTGGGAATGAAGTTGTGCTAATCTAAGAAGTGAAAGTTCACAGAAGGGTATGTGACAAATTAGGTCTGATGCACAAATCTTCAAGCTTGGGAGTTAATCTCATCGATTGCAGTAGGTTTTGAATCAAGTCAGCTTTGTCTTTCCTTTTTTTCCTGCCTTTTTTTTTCGTGCTACCCTCCCCTTTTTCTCATTCCTGGCCGAGTGAGTTGAGTGCAGGCGTTCGCTTGTCCTAAGGTGCTGCTCACGTGCAGCTCTGTTGGCATCCTGGTAAAAGCAGGCTTAAGGAAAGCATGTGCCAAGGCATTTGTCCCTTGTCTGAACGGCAGCGCTCGTCCGCCACCCTCGACAACTAGAAAGGCCGGTGAATCACAGGAGGCTTTCCCTTGGAGCCTGCTCTCCAGTTTGCTCTTTGCATACAGTCACTGGTTTCCAGACAAAGTGCTGGCTTGTGCCTACTGACCCCCTTCTCATTTCCCACTCGAGGGTGCTGGCTTGCAGAAGCTCGGTTTTGGTGGCGAGCGCCCACCTCTGAGCAGCGCCCCAGTGACGGTGAATGGGTGGAGAACACACTTGTACTGCCATTGTTCCAACAGCTCAGCCTGTAGGCTTGCTTTAATGACTGAAAAATGGTTACCATTTGGATAGAATAGCTAAGTTCAGCTCTTTCTGCGTTTCACTGACATGATCTCTTTTTTATTCCCTATGCCTATGAATCAGTAGGTCCATAACAAAATATCCTGTTAATGGCACGTTTCTTATTCAGGTATAACTAGGAGAAAATAAATGCTGAAAAATATGCTAAAGGGAAATTAAAAAGATGAGCACTGAATCTTGCTTAAAGACCACGCAATCGTTACAGAGGCAGAGATTCCACTGAGGGCTGCAGCCGGAATGCAAATGTGGTCCTTAAGCTTTCTTAAAAACAACATCAAAGCCATAATCAATGTGCTGGCTTTTGTTCTATGCACTAGGTGTTCCAGCACGGTAACAACGTGATCACGTGAGCCTGGGCTATAACATATTGTCCAGCCTGGGTAGCTCTGTGATTTTAGCTGGAATCGCCTTAACTAAAAAAATAGTTTATCTGAGCTTGTAATAATTGCACAAAAATGAAACTTTTTCTATTTCTGCCCCGGTGAAGGAATAAACAAAACTTACACATGCGATACATCACCACCATCTAGCTCGTATTTGGGTACAGATATACGTGGCTCACCTGAGTACTAGAAATAATCAGCCTGCCTTCCTAGTGAGGAATCTACAGCACTCACTCAGCTGAGCATCAAGGGTGTAAGCACTAAGAAAGAAAGGCAGGTGCTAACTTGGCTTCATATAACAGGTTTCCAACATATCCTTGGTTTGCCTAGATTGTTTCCTTCTGCACTCTGGGTTTTCATGGTCTCCTAGGAAAGCACACAAGACAGGTTGCTCTAAGGATTTTAGCCTCCCCAGACCCGTCCCAAAATGTCTTGGTTCATACAGTGATCGGATCCCGTGCAAATTAAATACATGTTCATAAGCACTGCTTAGCTTGCATATAGTTTAGTCGGATGTAAAAACTGAATGAACTATATGAATTTCAACTTCGTATATGAAAAGGAAAAATAGATGTAATGACTCAGTATCCCAAAAAATAACCTAAAGCAAATCCCTAGAACTGCCATCCAACCCAGCGTACCGTGCTACTGGTCCTTGGTCTAGGTAAGGGGAAATGAAAGACTTGATCCAGCATAGTGAGAACCACAACCCCAGAGATGAGAATGGCTCCAGGGCTAGCTATGTGGGAAGAGGCAGGGAAATATTAGAATGTAAAGAGTTAAGCTATGGTAAAACATACTTTTGCTACACTAAAGAAGACTGGTTGATAATTACTGTAGTTTTAGGGCTATTTGAATCAGTGCAGCTGCAACCTCTTCAGTAGTAACCCCTGAAACAAGACAAACTGGGTTTATTGTACTGAACAAGTCTTAAAGCTCCTCCCTGATTGTTAGTAATTGGCAGCAATGGACTTAACAGCCTCTTGACTACCCTTTTTACACTCTACCTGACTGTGCAGCTAACAATTTAAATCACAGATGCCGATCCTTCTTTGTGGCAGCTGCTTGTTAACTACATGTTCCTCTTTTTCTGTCACTGGCTGCTTCCATAACCCTGCAACACCAGGGTTAGATTGGAGAATCACATTTCATCAATATTTAAAATGGAATTAAACCTTGAAGTTTGATTAATGCTACCAGATAGTGAGTTGTAATTACTATTTTGCAAATTGCAATTGTTTGAATATGTTAATATGATTGTCTAAGCACATCTTCACCTTCAGAAATAATTTTCCCTTTAAAAAAGATTTGAAAAAAACCAAACTCTTTAATCAGTGGTAAATTATCACCCTGTGCACAATTAGGTAGTATGGGGTTCTTCATGTTGTGTGCTGAATTCTGTGTCAGCATATTTATCTTTAAAAGTTTATCCATTTTTTTAGATTTTTGTCAGTAGAATAAACATTCATGGAACAGACTTTGCTGAAAGAGGACTAACCATGTTGATATTTGAAGGTAAAGAAAAAAAGCTTTGTCTGAAAATTTTATTGCAATCTGGTGTATCCCTGTTCAGTTAGTAAATGTTAACAAGTTATTTCTTCCAAAGTTAGTGAAATGTAATGATTATTATCGTGACATATCATTGAAATCTTGAAACGGAGAGACATAGCGAGAGATCTTAACGGATGAGCTGTTAGAATATATGTAAGTATTGACTGATTCTTTTGAATTATTTTCCCGTGTCTCCATCAAAAATGAGATCAGTTTTCTAGCGCCCACAAAATACATTTTGAATATTGCGGGTCAGATCCTCAGCCAGCTCAAACTGGGATAGCTTCTCTTTTATTTTTGTAATTAATTCAGGCTGTTTTCATTAAGCAGGCAGAGGCATACGGAGCCAACCCTGGTAGCCACCTGCACAACTGATCCCCAGAAACAGCATCTGCCCACAGTAGATGATTAACCAGGGGTGCAAGTCCTACTGATCTACTGTTGGACACTGTCTACACAGTCAACAGGTCAGTTTGGATAGAGTCTTTCTAGGCAAGTCAGACCCAACTAAATCTGTTGGTCGTACTGTGTTCCTGTAAATAGTCCATTTCAAAATTAGTTCTTCTCAACAAATACTGCTTTGCAAGTTTCTTCCTTGTTTTGGGTGGCTTTAGGGGAAGCTCCGAATACCAGCAAAATCCAAACAGGTGTCGGTCAAAAATGCTGCTGGGTGTACTCCACGGTGAGCTCAAACTGCAGCCCACTTAAATCAGTGGATTTCTGCTCAGCATCTCTGCAAAATGAAACCACTTGCCTAATTTTCAATGTTCAGTCTAAAAGTAGTGGCAGAAGAGACTCCCCCAACTACACACTCCAGATTTATCTCTCAACTGGGATTAGAAACAGCTGAAAAGTCAGGGTGGGCTTGCTTCAGGGTGCTTCCAAGGGATGACTTGAAAATACACTGTAATTTAGGTGCATTTAATCTTCCTATATTAAATGCATATTGCAAAGTTTAGAATTATTTGCTTCTAGCTATCGCGTTTCTGTGTTGCTTATGGAAACCTCAGCCGTGAGAGACTTCTTAGGACTCTGCATGCTTAGGTGTCTGCCATGATGCAGAGAGACAATACAGCAGTATTGTCGTG